GCTACGGGGACACTCAGGTGCAGGTACAGCCCAAGCAGTCGGGGTGATGCTCGTCTCTATGGGCTCATGTTGTGTGAGCACCTTAAACACGCTGTCCAGCGCGATCTTGCCCAGCTCGGAGCGCATGGTGGTCTGCGCCAGCTGAGTCACGGCGTACTCGGGGTCCTCGACGCCGTAGCTCGCCTACCAAGTGACACGCACCACACACAGCCGCAGCTCGTCAACCGGCATCTCTGGACATTAACGCCGCGATCAATTCAAGCACATCGCACCGTGGAAAGGTGGGTCACGCATTGTGGAATACCTTCGCGTGGAAAGGTGGGTCACGCATTGTGGAATACCTTAGCGCAGAGCGTGCAACTCAAATCGAATTATTGTTATTTCAAATCCCAGTCAGGTTGTATTTGGCAATAACAGCCCTGCCACCAGTAAACATTTTTTAAAACAACTTTTAAAAAATTAACTGGTAAATATGATTTGGGGTGACCTAATCAACACCCACAGTGGCGTACACAAACCCTGGATCTCGACTGAAGGAATTACCTTGAACGGGTCCATAATGCGGAGGTACAACACGCCATCCAGCTGTAGTGTAACATTATCTGCAAATAATACACATTTGGAACATTTAAATTCTTGCTTTTTAGTACAGGCAGCATGACTCCAAATGACCACACAACTCTAAGGGACTTCCTCTCACTGCTGGCACTACACAGACACACGCTCACCTCACTATTCTTTAGTTCTTTCGATAAAGCCACAGAGATAGAACAAATAATAAAAAATAATAAAAATAACAATATCACGACGTTTCGATCGTAACACAAGCAATCGTCATGAGGTGAGAAATACCGCCTCACTCTCCAGGCTATTGTCTTGGTAACTCTACAGTTTACCATGCACAACATTCATTGGTCACCACGAGTGTCCACAAGTAAACGTGCAATTCTAGAGTGTATTGATTCCCTTGTGCACATGCATATACTTGCTTGGAAACAGTTGCCAATTCTGAACATTCTAAAAAAGGAGCACGTTCCAAATTTGTTCTTCAAGAACATCGGAATTGTCTTCATTTTTTAAAAAGGAAACAGAGGCAGCATTATTGTGGCAGGGCAAATTGAAAAACCTCACCAAGCCTCAATAATTTTCATTATGATCCTCCAAAAATACATTTGACCAATAATTTTTTCAACAATTTTTTAACGAGAATTTGATTTCATGGGAGAGGAATAAAAGTGTAGGCGTGAGCATTGAACCCGAACACATTCTACAGATGCACGAGGCTCCCAATTAAGGAAGGACAGCGAGTCGGAACGTAGCATTGCAGGCTTAGAGCACATTACAGGCTTCAAAGCCACTTTGTCCTAACATGGGCACGCTTCAAAGAAATCGAGTGTAAGGAGCATTCAACCAGTAGATTGCAGCTGACAGCGACGCTTGCAGAGAGTCTGTCTGGACACATTTATTATGTCCCTAACTTTTCCTTGCTAAATGTCCTTAATCTTGTTTCTTGAAATGCAAGTTTGATTGTAAATTGTACTGTATTGATAGTGGGGCCACTGGGGGAGGGGCATTTCATCTGAGTTTCTTTTTGGAACACATCTTAGACAACGCAAACAGCACCTGAAATGTGAACACGCACCTAGGGTGATGGCAGACTGCTCAGGAATGTCGATGACTATTTCTTTCAAGCTCTGCACGTACTTTATTTTGTCGATTATTGGGATCAGAAGATTCAAACCCTGCAAGAGAGGAGACCCACCAAGGGCAACATACATGGTTAGAATGTTAGTTTAACACGTAGTAGAGGCTTACACGACCAATATCATCGATAAGATATTTTTTTGGGTTAGTTCGCGTAAATATATAAATGTGTAATTAAACCCGCCACCACCCGACACAGCCAGCTAGTAGTTGTAATTACCGGCGAAATGTCGTACTCAGATTGTAAATGTTGTGGTTTGGCTCTCCAACACACCGGCGTGCTGTACTAGTGACGAATTGGCATGTTCTGTTTACGTGACAACCCTTACTAGTTGGCTGTGTCAGGTGGTGGCGGATTTAACGACACATTTATATATTTACAGGATCTGTTCAAGTCAGTGTTACCATTTGTGACAATGCTGAAATACAAATAGCATCGCAAGGACCTACCATTATTTACCAAATCGATTGGACTACTTCAACCAACGAGTGGGCTACCACAAATAGCTGGATTGTTTCCAGTTATGGATACATTCTAATGGAGTAATTTTTAGTACAGATGACACGCAACTTTAACCACGTATTCATACATTCCCACTTGATTTGCAATTTGAAATACTGCCTCATACAGCGATCTGGATGTCCCAGTTATAATTTGTATAGCTAATCATTCCTTTTACGTCAGAGTGTTACTGGCAACACATTTTAATGGTGCAGTGGTGGGGGCGGGAGTGGGAAATTAGTAATTTGGAATAACATTATAAAACCACAACAACTATAACACGAGGGACATTCGACTGAATGTTCCTTAGAAGCCGCGCGGAGTGGGGGGTGGGCAGAGAGGGCGATGAGCGCCAGCGCACCGGCCGGAGAATGCGGTTGAAGCGTCCCATGCGCTCGATGACCCACGCCTCCTGCTCGGGCACGAACAGCACGGCCGTGTTCATGGGCAGCGACGAGGCCCACCGCGGGGAGCCCGGCCCGGGGCCTGCGCCACACGGCAGCGGCCGTGGAGCCAGCGCCCCACGCACTGCATGCTGCACACACACAAACACACACAAACACACGCACACACACAAACACACACACAAACACACGCACACACACAAACACACACACAAACACACGTGGAGAGTGCAGAGGGGGCAAGCCTCATGAGTCGTGCGACCTATCATGACAAGTACTCTCATGTGCAGAGTGGGTGGGTCAGGGATTCCTCCCCCTCTTCATGTGCAGCAGACCAGAGGTCACGTGAAGGATGTCAAAAGGGTTGCGAAGCTCCACTGGAGATGGAGTCGTGTGGAAGCATGACACCGATTGCGCAATCGAGAAGAATTGGGGGTAAAGACAAATACTGTATCCATTCTTAAAGTGCATTTGACACGTCGTGAAGAATTGGTGCAACGATTCAAAGCTGGCAGTCGTGATGCATACATTGCTTGAACTCTGAAGTGCCGAGCAGTGCGACTGTGAGGGGAGCGCCGTCGGCGTGAGGGGTGATTTCCGCGACTTGCATCAGCCGCGCCACGCAACCCCGCGGCTCCCGGGGGGACCGGCACCGCTCAGCCGCCTCTGCATCGCGACCACCAAATACCCTCGTCGCCTCAGCCCCACACCGTCTCTCCCCTCATCCCTTTCTCACGACTCCTCTCGTATTCTCCCCCCCCCCCCCATTCAACCCTCTCCACGTCTCTCTCCGTCTTCATCGCTCCCTTCCTGTCCGCTCTCCCCCGTCCTCTCTCCCCTTCGCCGACCCGGCTTCTCGTCTCCCCCACACGTTTTGATGTCGCAGCGCGGTCGGCACGAGCCCGGCCCCACGCGGCCCCCGTTGGTCTCGGCGCGGCGCACGGGGTAGTCAAGAGGCGCCCGCTCGCCGTGGGTGTCGACACCAGAGGCGCGCGCGGCTCCATGCGGGCCCCGGGCGAGCGAGAGCGGGGGTCGGGGACTGGATTGGGGGGTCCGACCGAGAAGAGTGCGGTGTCCAGCACTCGGGAACGCTCGGACGCGCACGCCGCCTCACGTCGCCCCACGCCCGCCCCACGTCGCCTCACCTGCAGCGCCAGCAGTCGTGGTAACCTCAGCATCATCGTCGTCTTCACGGCTCGTGTCGCTGTGACAGGAACCACGTGGGACTCAACGGGAAGTCACGTGGGCGCCGGTGGGAAGCAAAGCGCACGCCGCAACACGCGTCACACCAGGTGGAGGTGGAGGGCGGCCATCTTACCTAGGGTGGAGGGCGGCCATCTTACCTAGGGTGGAGGGCGGCCATCTTACCTTGGGGTGGGCGGCCATCTTACCTTGGGGTGGGCGGCCATCTTACCTAGGGTAGTGGGCGGCCATCTTACCTAGGGTAGAGGGCGGCCATCTTACCTAGGGTGAAGAGCGGCCATCTTACCTAGGGGGGTCAACCCCGATCCGCAGCGTCGATGAGAATTCGGTATAGCAAACTGCTCTAATTATAACAAGCTAAAAAACGAGACGTAACAAAAAATACACATTTAGCTACACAGCCCTCTGGGAGTGCATAGTTCCATGAGCACTATTTCGACATTCCGTCTCTGTGTGTTAGTGATCTCCCTCCTTACCCTTTTCCCCCTCTCCATATGAACATTCATGTAAACTCCCTCGCACGCGGTTCCCACCTGGCCCCGGGACGCCCACTCGGGCTGCTGCTGCTGCTGTGCGTGGAGTTTCCCCTTCTGTGAGCCGCGCTTTGTACCGGGCTCGCGTTGAGTTGCAATAAAAACTTTTATTTTTAATCATGCTCCTACAGGACAGTATTCCGTTCATGTCAGATCGTCGGTGCTGTCGTTTGCGTTCAGGAACTTCGCCACCCCTCCCACCATCCCGCTCCTCACCACCACGCTTTGGTTTGCCCCGGTTACTTTGCCAAAATGAATAAAGTCAGGGGCGGTTTCTTCATTAGGGCGATTGGGCGACGCACCACCAATGTCATTAAACCACAGAGTCACGCTAGCCGTTACTGTGCCTCTGGATATAGTCCAATCAGCGTCATGTCACGTTCTGTGGAGTACCGCCTCTTTTTGGGCGATTTCACTCCGGCTGAGAATCGCCCAGAGTGTTCCCATAGACTTACATTCAAAGATGTTTTTTTTCGAACGGGGCGCTCCGATGCATTCTCTATGACTTCCGGGAGGGCTCGCACTAACGTGCTTACGTCATCATACGTAAGCACGTTTCATCCAACAATATAATTTGTCGCCACCTAGTGGAATCTTTAATAAAAGAAACTTGAGTGGATTGTATTAATAGTGAGTATAGAAACAAACAAGATGTATTGTAAGTCACTTTATTTTTCATTAATATTAAAGAAGTGAAGTTGCCTTTACATGCTTAAGCTGTTAATTTATCCATTGCATGGGTGGACCTTATCAATCATCCAGACATTTGCCCCCCCTGAGAGATTTTGCAGGAGCCGCCACTGAATAAAGTGTCATTCTAATCTAGATTTGAAGTTTTCGTGATTGCAGGAATCCATACTCTTTGGTTCTTTCGGTAAAAGCACGTAGGTAGAAAATAAAATAAATTATTTGACACCTACGTGACTTTACCAAAAGAACCAAAGAGTAAAGTGTCATTCTTCATCATCATCATCATCACGATCCATGGGCAAATAGCCCGTAGGTTTCCACTGCACGTGTCGTCATTTATTTCCACTTTCCTCCGTCTTGTGAAAAATGTGCTCAAGTAGTTCGCGCATCTTTCCGGCACCATTCTCTGATGTCCTCGTCAAGCCAATCAATTCACACGGCGCCGAGAGATACTGATGCACGTCACGTCCACTTCAAGTGGAATCTTGCTGCAAAAGGGAGAACGTGCAGCTCGTTGGGTCTATGCCATTCTACAACGCGAGAGCAGACAGCACGCGGCGTGGTGCCATGCGTCCACGTGCCCGGTGCTCGACTCGGGTGTCGTGGCGGGCAACCCTCGCGGGGAGGACGCGGGGGGCGAGGGAACGAAATCGAACACTCACCACACCACGCGAAAAGACAGCGCCATTGTTGTCAGCGTCACATTCAGTTGCACTTTAATGGATGCTAATTTACACGTGCTTTCTTGCAGCGGCATCACGAGTCAACAAGTGCCGGTATTGTGAAGTGTTGTGCGAGATTTCGATTTAAAGCTTTCGTGACTGCAGGGATTCATCTTCTTGGTTCTTTCGGTAAAGTCACGTCGAAGGGAAATATGATGCTTTATTTTTATTATTTTATTATTTCCCTTCTACGTGACTTTACCGAAAGAACCAAGAAGATGTTGTGCGAGAATTGACGGTGGAGGGGCCGTGCCCCCTGCAGGCGCTAGACGGCCTTGCTGCCCTTGCCCTTCTGCGAGGTGAACAGCGCCTTGAGCTGGTTCTCCGTGGTCGCGTCTGTCTGCTGCACCAGGTCCGCGTGGCCCTTGGTGATGCCCCAGCTGTCGGGGTGAGAGCAGGCGCAGGAGAAGGGACGACCCGTGGATGGCTCCAGCTTCTCCCAGTAGTCCTTGCGGGCCCTGCGATACGAAACAGCCGCGGGGCGTGAGTGAGCGGCAGCCCGGCTCCGTTCGACGGGAATCCGGCTGAGATCAACGTTTGGGGAACTCGGTCAGCTTTTGCTGGGGTTTAAAGGGTACTGGATATTTAATTGAACACACACACACACATGCTTGTCTGTACATATAAAGCAATTGAAACACAAAATAACCATCAGTGTATGAATGTCCAATAATGGGAAACTGAAAAGTAACTTTCTAAGTACTTAATACAACACAATAATCCGCCTTAAGCTGCAACAACCTAATCAGCCCAACCTCTCTTCTGGCCTGGCCTAACAAGCGGTGCGAGACACTGCCAAGTGGATTCAGAGGCCCATGCGGTGATGTGCCACGTGGGGGAGGTGCTACACACGTGTGTGCCACGGCAGAATGCGCGAGACTTGAAGACTCGCGGGCACCGCCAGCGACTAACAAAGGCCACCGTCTGAATGCACAGGCACCTCTCGGCAAAGAACACGGCAGAAAATCCATGTCGGTGTGATCAATAACCAGAGGTTGTGACGGGTGAGAAGCGCCTGTGAGCTTCGTGTGATGAGTTCGTTGTCCTTCACCCGCACCTCCGAATAGCACGGTTGGCTACGTACGGTGCGAATGAAGTTCAACACGTTAAGCCACTTCGTTGAGCTATCGCTTGTGATAGGTCGCTTCTGAAAAAGAAGCCAATAGCGTAGTGGGTTTTACCTTGGTAAGATAAAGAAAATTGAGAGTTTTATCTATATAAATGTTTTGTAAGTGATTTGTTTATATTTACTTTACTCTGTACTCATATCGTTATTTTGTATTGGTGATGTAATCTGACTACGTATCGATACTGGAGGAATCCGATGAGCTACAAAGCTCTTTTTTTCACCGATGTCCAGCAGTCGTTCTGACCCTGTGCCACCTCAACGGACGTCTGTGAAACAGGAGCTTCACAACGCATCGGGATTCCTCCACGACAACCACGACAACAACATCGCGACCCAAGCGAGTCGCCTACCTGGCGCGGACCCAGGGCTTGGTGTGCATGCCGAGCCCGGCGCCCCAGCTGTCGTGCTTCTCAGACGCAGCGGGCAGCCTGCCGCGCTCCACGGCCAGCTCCTCGGCCATGGCGCGCACGTGGTACGCTTCGAAGCCGCAGCAGCCCCCGATGTAGCGCACGCCCAGCGCGTACGCCTCGCGCGCGTACCTGTGCATCTCCCAGCGCGTGCATATCCGCGGCTCCAGCGCTGGAGGTTCAGGGGGGAGGGGTGGAGGCGACACGGCACGAGCGTCGAGAAATGTCGGCGCGATTCCTAACCGTGTGGTGCCTTCTTCATAGGTGCCGCTCGCTAGCAGCACTTGCCACAACAGTTCTGTTCAGGTGACACGGGGGATGTTTGTCCACGCTCATGGTGCTAACACGCAGAAAGTTGGCACCGTTGGGGAGCACAGTTGGTGCGTTTGTCAGTCATCTCAGTCAGTCAACCCATGAGTCTGCTATGTGACCTCCTGCCAGCGGTCCTTCGACACTTCACGTGGCCTTAAAGTGCATTTAGCTTGGCACAAACGCTGCGGGGACGCCAATGCCACTTAGTGGTGAACGTCGGTTGTTGTTGTGGTGCTGAGTTGGGTTCGTGACCCTGTGCCCCCAGTCCAATGAACATCTGAAAAGCCCTTCACCGAAATGTGATGATTGCTGACTTTCATGTTTATCAGGAATGTTGAATTTCCGCTTCTGGTTCAGGGCTCCCGATAGAAACGTACCCTGATCAGTGCTCACATAAGCATGTGAAGAGACAAAGTAATCATAATAATGTGATATTATCAGCCTCCCTGACTCTCAAGTGTTTGCATGTGGAAGGAAACCAGTTTACCTGGAGGAAACCCACACATACGAAGGGATACCTCTTAAAAGACCGTGCAAGATGGATTCAAGAATCAAGACACCATACTGACATCTCCCGGCTAACAAGTCCTGAAGGTTTTAAATTTGCACAAATATCCGTGCTTAACCGACCCGTTCCTGCAAATTTCAACAAGTTATTTGGCGATGCTGCGACTGCAGCGTCGCATAGGCGCAAATAACAACAACAACAACTCAACACATTCGTCAACTCGCGCTGAGTGTGCCGATCAGCTGGTGCTGTTGTTGTGCGAGCGAGCGAGACATAGAGAGTTTGCTGATGGCGGGCGCCCCACGAGTGTGTGGCACACCAAAGGGGAACTCGGGCAGGTCAATGAAGCCCTGCTTGTTGCAGTCGGGCGTTTGGAAGCCCAGCGGCTGCGTCATGAGGTGCGCCTTGAGCCCGGCCGCCTGCAGCGCCTCCTTCATCAGCTTCACGGTGCGCAGGGAGGTGCTGGGGTCGAAGTGGCAGTTCACGCCCACGATGTCGGCCCCTGCGGGGGGGGGGGAGACGCGAGCGTGCGCCCCGTTTGTTAGTGGCGTCGCGTTCACACGTGTGGGGGGGGGGGGTGAGGCAGGGGGTAATGCCTATGTGTTTTTTTGTGTTGGTTACGTACGGTGCGATAGAAGTTCAACATACTTATATATCTAGGTGTTACCGCGTGGCTCAGACGGCTCGCAACAACGAGCAGAGCGCTGGAGGATAAATTGGCACCTGGGACCTGGGTGTGTCCCGTTCCCGTTAGCTCCGCCAGTGGGCCCTCCACACTTCAAGCGTTGGTCTCAAAGTGGACCCGGGGACTGACGGTTGTTGTTGTTGTTGTCGTCTGGCAGCAGGAATCTTCACCAAGCAACTACAATGAGGCTTGTGGCCTTTCGAGTTTTTTTCACGATAATCATGCAACGTTGGACCAACGTCGCATGTTTACTGAGATGGGGTTTCAGATAATGCTGGGATTTCGTCGCAGGCATGGTTAATCGTTGGTAATTATTGCTAAGCAACTTGAAAATTCAGAAAAGAATATGGTAGGATAGCCATGGAGATGTGACCATGCAGTGGAGGTTTTCATGGTTGAGAAATATATGCGCGTAAGCACGCACACACACACGCACACACACACACGCACGCACACACACACGCACGCACACACGCATGCACGCACCAGCCTTGACGAGCTGCACCGCGCACTGGCCAGCGGACACGCCGTGCAGGTCGCCCTCGGGCCCGATGCACATGGTGGCGGCCACGGGCATCCCCGTCTCCTTGAGCGTCTGCACGGCCCACACCGCCTCCTCCACGTGCTCAAAGTACTGCGCACTCGCACGGCGCGCGCGCGCGTGAGCACCGCCCGCGGCGGCTCCCCCCGTAGAGGCCGTGCCCAGCCCGCCGTTCGTGCCCAGCCCGCCGCGGACTCGGCCAGGCCGCAGGAGGTGGCCGTGCGGGCCCGTTGCGGGTGTCGTTGTGTTCAGTTGTTTTCGTTCTGAAAACGCGGTTCTTTTTGGGTGCGTGGTATTTCACGGGTGGAGAGCGGTCTCCAAATACATAAGAAATGTTGGGAGCCACCGCTGTGGTGGGGACGATCATCTTCAGTGGCACAAGAAGATGACCGTCTTGTTCTGTGAGAATCGTGGTGCGCACCTCATTACACATAAGATTTATGTGCGGAGCAATGTTTATTTATAGTTAGATCTTTGACAGAAATGAGCCAATGTCACCTCACAAAAAAATCTACAAAATTGCTAATGAGAAGTATTTGAATCATTTTGGCGTGTCACACCGCACAAAAAAATTACTGTCGTGAATAGTAGTGAATAGTTTGTCCTTCCCATGCGAAGTCGTCAGAGACGCGTCGCGTCGCCCACCTCGGCGATGAGGAAGTCGACCTGCTTGCGGACGAAGACTTCGAGCTGCTGCCGGAAGATGGCCTTGACGTGAGTCTCGCTCTTGTTGCTCAGGTAGGACGGCGTCTGGCTCACCCCGCCGGCCACCAGGGCCGCCGTGCCCGAGACGGCCTCCAGGGCGAGTTCGCACGCCGCCTCGTTCACCTTCGCGCTCTGAGAGGCCGACAGCGAGAACTCTCGCTCACTCGCTCGCCCGCGACGCTCAACTCCAGTGCCGTTGAGCCTCCGTGCTATTGAGGCTCAACCACCAGGGCCTATGGCCGATTTGTGAGCATTAAATCGCAAACAGCAGCTGAAACAAACTCAATATCTGGGTGCACACTGCATGTTACACACGCTAAACTGCTGAGCCCCATGCAGATGCAACGTGTCAGTTATTTGACTGGACTCCGCTTACATTTAATGTTGCTGTGGTTGGGGAAAATAAAACTTGACAACGTCAGGCTCGTGTTTTTGTAACTTGTACGTTTAGACGGCATTGGAAGCGTACATGGTGACCTCCTCAAAGGGTTTAAGGGCAAAGGGAGCAGAACCCGGCCACCCCGTACGCACGGAGATCTTCTTGGTCACGTAGTTGCCACGGTTCTCCAGCTTGTCCTCGCTGGCGTAGAACGTGAAGGTCTGCATCACGTCGGCGCCCGCTCGCAGGAACTCGTTGTGCAGCTGCCTCACTGCAACAGGCGAAGTGCAGCGTGTCAAGGATGAGACGATCGTGGTCAGAGCAGAACTGCCTCTCCAGCTCCCTCTGCGAATCCTGAGACGCCCGAGTGAAGAGCCACTGTGGCAACCGCGAAGGGTCTGCTCTGGATTTGACCGGCGTGTGAACCCGCCCGCCATGAGTTTCATCCGAATTCTCTGGAGGCGACTTTGGGCCACGCAGCTGTGGCTGTGAAGTTCGTGGGATTTCTTTGGATACGCAGGTCGCAGAATAATCGCGATCGCAATCGCAGATAATGACAATTTATTCAAGTTCTCAGAGCTGGAACAAGTCGCCTGTGTAACAGACCAAATGTAGTGTAATGCTCTCTTGTGCACTTAATAATGGTGACCATCTACTCGCTCCACGTGAGAACCCCGTTACATCACAGGCAGTGGCTGACACTTCAACCCAGGATCTAGGCGCTATTGGCTCTGTGCCAATCCCCCCCGCTCCACCCCCCGCAGATGTCTCAGTCAGCGTAGAGACCAACTTCTATCATTAAAACTGTGCGGTCGACTGCAATACTGTCCAACACAATTATGATAGCAGCTCTCAATTAAAATCAATTCCTGCCTCCCGAACACAGTCGCCAATTCCCGGGCTGACCCAGTTAAATATAGAGAGGTGGCGACCTTCATCATGCGCTGACATTTCCACGATGAGACCCCAGTGCCACCAGGCCACCTGGAGGTGTCACCAGTGTTGGCCTGTGGAGGTATTTCGCAGCACAGCGACTCCACGGGAGTGAATAGGGTTTCCACCTGCACAGGTTGGACAGGGACGTGTGCCCGAGCATTGACACTCGCTGTTCCGGGTTAATTCAGCAAAACTGCGCACTTCTTATCGACCTCGGCTGGCCGAGGAATACGTGCGGGCTTTGGTCTACGTTGGAAAAGGTGGCGACCCCGACACGGAATCGATCGCCCGTGCGTCGTCACCTGCACTCTCGGCAGGCGCCTGTCAGCGTTGAACAGCGGAGGGCTGCGCGAGGGAGGGCGAGGGGGAGGGCGAGGGGGAGGGAGGGGGCGAGGGGGAGGGCGAGGAAGGGTGAGGGAAGGCGAGGGAGGGGAGGGCGAGGAGGAGGGCGAGGGAGGGGGTGGGCGAGGGGGAGGGGGAGGGAGGGGGCGAGGGGGAGGGCGAGGCGGGGGCGAGGGAGGGGGCGAGGGGGGGGTGAGGAAGGGTGAGGGAAGGCGAGGGAGGGGAGGGTGAGGGAAGGCGAGGGAGGGGAGGGTGAGGGAAGGCGAGGGAGGGGAGGGCGAGGAGGAGGGCGAGGGAGGGGGAGGGCGAGGGGGAGGGGGAGGGAGGGGGCGAGGGGGAGGGCGAGGAAGGGTGAGGGAAGGCGAGGGAGGGGAGGGCGAGGGAGGGGAGGGCGAGGAGGAGGGCGAGGGAGGGGGCAAGGGAGGGGAGGGCGAGGGAGGGGAGGGCGAGGAGGAGGGCGAGGGAGGGGGAAAGGGAGGAGAGGGCGAGGGAGGGGAGGGGGAGGGCGAGGGAGGGGAGGGCGAGGCGGGTGAGAGAGGGCGAGGGAGGGCGAGGGGGAGGGCTAGGGAGGGGAGGGGAGGGAGGGCGAGGGAGGGGGCAAGGGAGGGGGCAAGGGAGGGGAGGGCGAGGGAGGGGAGGGCGAGGAGGAGGGCGAGGGAGGGGGCAAGGGAGGAGAGGGCGAGGGAGGGGAGGGGAGGGCGAGGGAGGGGAGAGCGAGGCGGGTGAGAGAGGGCGAGGGAGGGCGAGGGGGAGGGCTAGGGAGGGGAGGGGAGGGAGGGCGAGGGAGGGGGCGAGTAGGAGGGCGCGCACCGGCCTCGGGGTACTCGACGGTCGCCTCCGGCGTCCAGGGCCCGGCCTTCACGTAGCCCCTCTTCTCCAGCGCGAACACGAAGCCCCCATCACCGATCAGCACCTCCCCGGCATTCAGCCGCTCCAGGATGCCCTGTGGGGCGGGCGGAGGGGAGGACGGAGGCAGAGGAGTGGATGTGAATTTTGTGTAAATGCAAACTGCACACGTTAAAGATGTTCACAATGTGCTGGCATCCGTGTCATTCAGTGTTTGCCGCGTAGGTGTCGATGAACACACGCCGGGCAATGATAGCAAACGAGATGGTTCCATCTCAAGGGATATTCCGAGTGAAATATGTAAAATAGAAACGCTAATGAATGCGCGTGCACTGATTGTTGCGCTCACGATGCACGCATCGATTCATTTATTACAACGGCTGCTGTCATGCACGCAGGGTTCGTTCACAAATAAGTCTCGTGAGGACAAGACAAGCGGGGAAGGACAACAAATTAAACGCAGAGAGCAAACCCGTGCAGTGTTTGCATCAAGGCTGTGTCAGTGTGTCTTTGATCACACCGCAAGCAACGGGGTGTTCACACATCTCTGTTGGCCACCCTGGAAATTCTACCTTCCCATGGCAGGATTATTGATGAGAACGGTTGACGCTCCACTCCAATATATATTATCTGACATGTCTATATAATGCGTTATATATATATACCGCACTGCAGCTGGCATATCAAATGCGATGCCTCTCATTCAATCGACCGCGCGAGAGCGCCGTGAGATGCGCGCCGTGAGATGCGCGCCGTGAGAAGTGCTCTCGAGTGCAACGGGAGACCCCGAGAGCCCACGGGGCCATGGGCAGCTGCTCATGTTCGGCGCTGAGCTCGGTGCGCACACGGGGGGAGGTCACGCGCGGCGCTTCAGACCGCCCCAGTGACCCCGTGGTGGTCAGCACGGGTGGCTACGCACGGTGCGACACGTGCTTCCATGCAACTCCCTCTTTTTTAAACGGTTCACTTTTGATTCGAATTTGCCGGAAGCCAAATTGAAACCGTCTCAATCGCGCGCCAGAAATGTGTGGAACATCAATTGCGGCTGAAGGGCGATTGAATGAACGAATGAAGGAATTAATGAAGGAAGGAAGGAATGAAGGGCCGTCACGCCGCGGTGTGGCCGCCACAGCGTCGGTCGATAGTCACCTGTCGCAAATTCATTCGCGAATTTAAAATGAAATGCATCGCGAGGTTAATTCCACGTGGGAAGAAACACCGACACGTGGTCTCCATCCGCTCGTGGTTGTGGTTGTCTGGCACGAGGCCGGACTCACATTCGCGAGGAAGTTCAAATCCCAGCCAAGGTGGGCTCAGCAGCCCATGGTCTGTCTGGGGTCGATACATTAAGAAACATCAGTGCAGCAGCACCCGGATGCTCGTTCTTCTGCCTTGGAGTTTGGCCCTTGCCATCGGAATTGGCTTCGTCTTTCTCGAAGGTAAGGCTGCCCCCCTCTCACGCGCGTGGCACGCTCTGAGCATTCGGTCAACACTCGGGCGGACATTCACACAGCCCTACCTTCTTGGCGGGGGGTTTCGTCTTCCTCGACGAGGTGGACATGGCGCCTCTCCGCTGGATTCAGGGGGCAGCACGGGGGTCAGCACGCAGGCGGCGAGCAGGGGCTGCTGTGGGAAGGTGAACTCCTCGGCTTCGTCAACGCGGACTTAAATACGGAGCGCCGCCGTGGAAGGGGAGCAGCCTGCCCGAGAGGCGGAGCGGCGCGGTATCGTCGCCGGTGTTTGCCAGCAGGAGAACAAACAAACAGACACACAGACACACACACACACAGACACACACACAGACACACACACAGACACACAAAGCAAAGTTTCGTTCTTCCGCGCGACCTTGAGATGAGCGGGTTGGTGGGAGCGGGTGGTGGTGCAGGTGGTGGTGGTGGTGCAGGTGGTGGTGGTGGTACAGGTGGTGGTGGTGGTGCAGGTGGTGCAGGTGGTCCAGGTGGTGCAGGTGGTGCAGGTTGTGCAGGTGGTGCAGGTGGTGGTGCAGGTGGTGCAGGTGGTGCAGGTGGTGGTGCAGGTGGTGCAGGTGGTGCAGGTGGTGGTGGTGCAGGTGGTGCAGGTGGTGCAGGTGGTGGTGGTGGTGGTGCAGGTGGTGCAGGTGGTGGTGGTGGTGCAGGTGGTGCAGGTGGTGGTGGTGCAGGTGGTGGTGGTGCAGGTGGTGCAGGTGGTGGTGCAGGTTGTGCAGGTGGTGGTGGTGCAGGTGGTGCAGGTGGTGGTTGCTGCGATGTCGGTCCCGAGCTGCGGGTGGTTGGTGTCGCCGTGATTGGAGATCCGCAGGGAGCGGCAGTGTCGCGGTTAGCGCGCTGAACTTCGGAATCGGAGTCGATATTTATCCTGGAGGAATCCGATGAGCTAGGAAGCTTTTTTTCACAGATGTCCAGTAGGGGCGGGTCAGAAAGTTACAACAACAAACAATACAACAACAATACAACAACAACAATACAACAACAAACAATACAACAATACAACAACAACACGATAGGCGTGCAAAGTGTTTTTTTGAATTCCACAACCCATTGAGAGTGCATCATTCCAGCGGCATTGACCCACCTCTGGACCGGTTTCGACATCCAGTGTCACGTTTGTCTGAATCAATGCTGGTAAACTGCCAGATGCAATGAACAAGGTTCCCTCTCTGGAGGACGATGGGTCCAAGCTCGACGCAGACTTGTCCAGCGCACAAGCGATGAGCACAGCGTAAGGGATCGAGGGGGGCACGCAACCCGCCCTGACCCCACCACACAGAGGACACTTTGTGTGCAAGGGTTGGTGGATCACGCAGAGATGAACACCACCCTGCATTTTCCATAATATGCTAAATTACTCTCTTGATATGTAATATCCTTTGTCAAGGCGCTCTCCTCCTCTAACCCAGCTTAAATATACGCTGCCAAGCTTGGTGGTGTTCATTCGGACGCTGTCTTTCCGACAGCCCTGTTCTTCGCCTGAGGACGGCTGCTTGCGTTGTGGCCGAAACGTCGTGAGAATTGTATTTATTATGTTTTATTTGTATTATTTTATTATTTCCCTTCTACGTGACTTTACCGAAAGAACCAAGAAGATTAAACCCTGCAGTCACGAAAGCTTTAAATCGAAATGTGTGATTATGTGTGTCTGTTCAAATTGTTTAGCGTACTTCCCGACATGCAACGAACTTGAAATTTGCCATGTGGGTACTTTCCAGACTGTACACCATGCAAACATTATTAAAATACACTTTTGTTGGGGGGGGGGGGGGCTCAATAATGCATTTATTTTGCACGGCAAGTGAGCTGTGACGTCGTATCTGTCACGTGACCCGCGCACGTGGAAGCGTAACGCATTGTCGTGTAGCGGGTAGCGCGCCGCGCTACGAACCCCCATTCCCGCTCACAGCCACCACCGGTGACGATTATTTTAACCGGTCCTGGGCTTCCCCTAGGTCGACTCAGCCTCAAACGAGTAACTGGTGTGGTGTGTGAACATCGCCATTGGGGAGACAAAGGCGGCCGGGCGTGGTGAATCTAAGTCCCGGGCGAAGCCGGGTAGTAAGGCTAGTTATTATATATGTACACCTTTAGATGATTGTCACATCGCCACCATCATTCTCACATCATAACCATCGCTTTCATTCTATCATCATCATTCTCAAAGCATTTCATACGGCATTACAAACATGGTCGTAACATTATGAAATCATCATCATCATCAAGCATCACCTTTATCATCCCTAAACATCGTCGCCACGATTTCTTTCCGCCATCTCAGAACAACAACTTCATCATCACCCTCATCACTGACCTCGCGGCTGCTAAGGTGTTAAACAGCAATGTGTGTACGTTGAACTTCTTTCGCACCGTACGTAGCCAACCGTGCTAATGGGAGGTACGGTGGGAGGGCAACAACATTACCGGTGATGTTTTGTTTTATGTCACCATGACTCGTCTGATTTTATTGTATTGCCACGTGTATTCGTGTGTGTGTGTACAACATAGACGTGCCCCCCCCTCCACCCTCGCAAGTCGATCAATGAATTTCAGCCTCGTCAGGAGCTTTCCGAGGGAGAGCAGCAGGGAGAGGAGGGGGGGAGGAGGGGGAGGAGGAGGGGGGAGGAAAAGGGGGGAGGAGGGGGAGGGGGAGGGAGGAGGGGGGAGGGGGAGGAGGGGGAGGGGGGAGGAGGGGGGAGGAGGGGGAGGGGGGAGGAGGGGGAGGAGGGGAGGAGGAGGGGGAGGGGAGGAGGGGGGAGGAGGGGAGGAGGAGGGGAGGAAGAGGGGGGAGGAGGGGAGGAGGAAGGGAGGAGGAGGGGGAGGGGAAGTAGGAGGGGGGAGGAGGGGGGGAGGGGGAAGAGGGGGGAGGGGGTGTGCCCCGCGCGCGCCGCGTCTGATTGGCGGCGCGCTTGGAGGCTTGGAGCCCGAGACCGCTCAGAGGACATCCGCAGCGTCGTCGTCACCCTCGCCACCACCACGACTTTACCGAACGACCCAAAGAATATGAATTCCTGCAGTCACGAAAGCTTAAAGTCAAGGTTCACTCTGAACCAGTTTTGGCATTCAGCGTCTCATCATCCGCCGACTCAAGCTTGCTGGTGAACTGCAAGATGTTTATAGCCAAAACCTCATCATACACAACACATCGCAAGCGTCGTTGTGGAGACGATAAGCAACACAGCACTGAAGCAGATCATTCATCGATGTCTTCTGTATCGTCTTGCTATCGCTTTGCACGTGTGTGTGTGCACGTGTGTGTGCACGTGTGTGTGTGCACGTGTGTGTGCACGTGTGTGTGTGCACGTGTGTGTGTGCACGTGTGTGTGCACGTGTGTGTGTGCACGTGTGTGTGTGTGCACGTGTGTGTGCATCTGTAAGATAGAAGCTGTGAACCTGGACACCCAAGCGCAGACTTTCCCAAACGCCGCTCCTCGCGACACGCTACGCTACCTCTATCCGCGTTCACCAATCTACTCGCCATTCAAATACACATGCACTTGTTTCACGCTGCACGCGCCCGATGATTGTTAAGCACGTCCCACGTGCCGCGCTGAGAAATTGACGCTTTATGCGTGAATGGAGCCGATTCGCGTTAAGAATGAGCTTGCAGTGTGCGCACGCGTGTGTGCACGGGTGTGTGTGCGTGTGTGTGCGTGTGTGCACGTGTGTGTGTGCACGAGTGTGTGTGCACGTGTGTGTGTGCGTGTGTGTGTGTGCGCGTGACACTGACGGTGTTTGATGCTTAGCGCTTCACGCGGGACGTGTTTAACAATCATCGGGCGCGCGCAGCGTAACACGACTTGATTGGAATGGTGAGTAAATTGGTAAACGCGGAAAGGCGTGGGTCGCGTGGTGGGTCGCGAGTGCTGGAGTTTGGGCAACCCCGCAGTCGCGTCTAAATCCCGGGATTCTCGAGGAGAGGGGTTCGTCTTCGTCGGTGGCTGTCGGCGGAGCGTCTGTGTGGAGGGGTTCATTGCAATATAGCGCAACAATCCGACGCGTGAACGCCATGGGCATGTTAATTACGCAGATGAATCACACACCTGATACGCTCATTCCCCTCCCTCTGAGCTCATTCGTTTTAAACCGACACCATTGTCACAACGCCCGCCAGTATCATCGTCGTCGTCGTCATCCTCGCAAGCTAAAACGTACGCAAGCATGTTTAGATAGTTAGGACTCAACCACTGTCACTGGTTAATCATTGTCCCTCGCTCTCAACGTGTGCGATGCCACCGCGCTTGTGATGCGAGCAGGCGAGAGACGACAGCCACGCAACACGCGACGATCGTTGCCTCCACAGGCGACTCGGTGACTCGTCAACTTCACCTCCTTAGTCGACCCTCCTCCTCGCCCCCGTGGCCTCCTCTCTCCCGAGGTCATCCTCCTCCTTCTCATCTCGCGTCTCTCCTCTCCTCTGGTGTCTCCTCGCCGTCTCCCCCTCTCCGTGTCTCCCCCTGCCGTTCTCGGCTCTTCCAGGAACTCGCTGCTCTCGGTGGGGCCTCTTCTCCCCGGGTATCTTCTCCACCCGGGTCGACCGCACTCGCGTGAACTTCGAGCCGCCCCGCGCGCCTTTGTCTTCCTCAGAATGCTGCGACGGCTGCTGCTGGGCGCGTCGGGGTCCGCACGGGTCCTTGGCTCGACTCCAGTGCGGCAGATGCAGAGTTCCAGGTGCGTGCGTGTGCGTGTCACGCGCAGAGTTCCAGGCGCGTGCGTGTGTCACGCGCAGAGCCCCAGGTGCGTGCGTGTGCGCGTGTCACACGCAGAGCCCCAGGTGCGTGTGTGTGTGCGTGTCACACGCAGAGTTACAGGTGCGTGCGTGTGCGTGTCACGTGCAGAGTTCCAGGTGCGTGCGTGTGCGTGTCACGCGCAGAGTTCCAGGTGTGTGCGTGTCACGCGCAGAGTTCCAGGTGTGTGTGTGTGCGTGTGTCACGCGCAGAGTTCCAGGTGCGTGCGTGTGCGTGTCACGCGCAGAGCCGTGACGACCTGGCTAGGCGCTACTCGCTCACACCACTTGCCCCTGCAGTCCGGTAACGAGTGAGAGGCGCCAGTCCCACCGTGGGAGCTCTGTGGTCTCTGAAACATCTCCTCTGCGCAACGTGGGAGCTCTGCGGGATGTCTCTGCAGTGTCAAACTCGCGCGCTCCATACAACTTCACGGGAGATTTTGCGCTCACCAATGTCGCACCCTGAACTGCTTCTGCCC